AAGCAACTGCTAATGGGTACAGGGTTTATTTTTGGAGTGATGAAATGTCCTAATACTAGATAGTGATAATGATTACACAACTCTGTGCATAATACTAAAAGACACTGAATTATACACCTTAAAAAGGTGAATTTTGTGTTGAACTTCAATATAATTGCTATTAAACAAAATAAAGGTCCTCTAAATACACCTAGTTGCAAAAGCCATAGGATAAAATTTCAGGCTTTTGTGGATTTTTTTTAAACCTGTACTTTGCCATATAAAGATCTCCTAGAGAGCTAAGCCTGTCAAGTGATTTGTTTTGTTTTGTTTTGTTTTGAACTAAAGAATAAACTGAAGTTGTTTTTGTAAAAAAAAAAATAATAAAAATGAAAATAGTTACACACTCCTCCAACTGAGCTACCCAGGTGCCCCCTCAAGATAAAAATAAAACTCTCAAAAGAAAACATAAGGGTAAATCATGACCTTTACACAATGGTTTCTTAGATAAGACATCAAAAGCACAGGGCATCTGGCTGACTCAGTCAGTAGAGCATGCAACGCTTGAACCCAGGGTCGTGAGTTCAAACCCCAGGAGGGAAACAGAGCTTACTTTAAAAAAAAAAAACAAAATATAACAACAACAAAAAACAAAGAAATAGACATACTGGACTTCATAAAAATCAAAAAAACTTTCATGCTGGAAACAATACCATTAACAAGTGAAGGAGGAACCTACAGATTATGAAAAAAATATTTGCAAGTCATATCTAGTAAGGGACCTGTATCAAGAATGTATAAAGAACTCTTACAACTCAAAAATAAAAAGGCAACCCAATTAAAAATGGGCAAAGTATTTGAATAAGCATTTCTTCAAAGAAGATATACAAATGGCCAATAAGCAAATAAAAAGATGCTCAACATAATTAGTAACTAGGAAAATACAAATCAAAACCTCCCTGAGACTTCACTCCCACCAGGACAGCTATAATAAAAAAGACAGTAACAAGTACCATCATGAATATGGAGAAATTAGAACCGGCATATATTGCTGGTGGGAATGTAAAATCACGTAGCACTTTGGCCAACAGTTTCTCAAAATAGTAAACACAGAACTACCACTCCTAAGGGTACATTCAAGGGAAATGAAAACAATATGCTGATAAATTTATACACAAACCTTCACAGCAGCATTATTCACAACAACCAAAAAGTGGGATCAACCTAATGCCCATCAACTGATGAATAAACAAAATGTGCTGTATCTATTAAAATGAAATATAGTATGGAAATAAAAAATAATGAAGTACTGATACATGCTACAACACAGATGAACCTCAAAAACGTTATGCTAAGTGAAAGTAGCCAGTCACAAAAGACTATATTTTTTATGATTCCATGTTATGGACTGAACTATGTCCCGGCAAAATTCATGTTGCAGCCCCAACCCCAATGTGACTACATTTGGAATCACAAACTTTAGGAAGCCTAAATGAGGTCATAAGGGTGGGACCCCAATTTGACAGGACCAGTGTCCTTATAAGAAGAGGAAGAGAAAAAACATTTTTTTAAATAAATTTTTAAAAAATAATAAATAAAAAGAAGAGGAAGAAACACCAAAGTCTCTACACACCCACACAAAGAAGCAGCCACATAAGGACACAGCAGGGTTGCCTATAATCCAGAAAGAGAGACCTCACCAGAAACCTTGATGAGGCACCTTGATTTTGGACTTCTAGCCTCTAGAACTGTAAGAAAATAAATTTCTGTTGCGTCAGCCACCTGGTCTGTGGTATTTTGCTATGGCAGCCCTAGCAGAATAATACATTCCACTTAATATGAAATGTCCAGATAGGCAAATATATAGGTACAGAAAGTAGATTACTGGCTGTCCAAGGCTGGAGATTAGGGTGGAATGGAAAATGGCTGCTAATGGGAACAGGGTTCGTTTTTGGGGTGATAGAGATAGTGTAAAATTAGGTTATGGTCATGGTTGTACAACTCTACGTACATACGTAAAACCAGTGAATTGCATACTTTAAATGGGTGGACTTTATAGGTGAATATGTGAGTTATATCTCAAAAAAGCTATAAAAGAAAAAAGGTATTACATTTTTTTTTAAATAGTGCCATGCTAAGTACCATTCTTTAAAATCTGAACAACTTACCAAATATTGTATAATTCTGGAAAGAAATGTAAAACATGGAAGATATTTCCTAACAGAAAGGGAAAAGGATTTCAACTGAAGTTCTTCTTCAGAAGTCTTTTCAAATATTGAAAAGGAAGTTGCACAAGCTATAAAAAATGCGATCGTTGTCACAACTAAGGGCATTAGGAGTTCATCCTTCAGTAGAAGAGGTAGCATACTGTAAGGGAAAAACAGAAAAAACATCAAAAGAGAATTGCCAGTTCAAACCACATCACTCTGAAAAAAGCTTTAAATGAGTTTATAAGAAGTATACTGAAAATACTGTATGAATATTGGTTTGACTTACCTAAATGTTGACACAAGTAAAAACCAGGTAGACATAAAAGGAATTTCACTTAAAACTAAGCAGACTGGTCTAAAATGATAAAGAAAAAAAAATATTTTAATCTGACAGAATTCCAATTCTTGTGAAAAATATAAATACATTTTATCTGTCTGATCTTTGGGGTAGCTAAACAAACAAACAAACAAATAAAAAACAGCCAGTAAGGTCTCCATATAGATCACTGATTCATTTTTTTTAATACCTATCAATCCAAACTAAGTGAGTCTAAACATAGAAAAGGTATCTACTCCTCATAATAACTGAAAAACTGCTTCTTTCAATATTCCATTAATGGAACATTTTTTTTCTAGCCTACAAACAGCAGCTTAAAGGAAGGATCAGATAAACAGATCCAAACATTCAGAGATAGAGTTTTTTCATGTTTCATCCTACTTGGGAAATAAATCCATTCCCAGTATAGTGGTATCCAAACTTCTTTTGTATGATCCTCCATGATACATATTACTAATATAAGTTAAAAATTAAAGTTGTAACAGACAAGATCATCTTCTGCCACTGAAGCAAGAACAACAGAGATAAAACTTACAAGAGGAAACAAGCTGATAATGGTAGAATAAAAGAAAAGAGGGGAAAAAAGTAAGAAGCAGCTACAGGAAAAGAACAATAGTATAGGAAGAGGAAGCATAATGCCAATAAAAGGAACTTTATTATAGTGTTTAGGATTATGGGTCCCAACTCTGTGACCTTACCACCCACCCTGGTCTCATTACCTTCTGGATTCTACTGTGGCAATGTTCAAGTAGAAGAGGACCTGAGTCTTAGTCCCATCTCTGCCAATTATTACTGTATGACTTTGAACTTAATTTAGCCTTTTTTTCTAATGTATAAATGGAAATAATAATACTTGTATTGTTAAGTAGTTGAAAGAACTCTTTTACAAGTATTACCTAATTTTTTAACATGATTATTTCTGTGTTTCTAACGTTTACTAGTGATTGTGATACATTACTTGTGTACAATACTTGTTGTTATAGTTGTTTTGGGTCTCCTTATTTTAGAAGCTTTGAGCATTCTCCTTTTTAGAAGGATGACTTTCCCCCATATCAACTAGCATATGAGATGTAAAGTGTAGGGTTACAAACCAATTGAAAACTACTGCACTAAAAGAAAATACTAGAGGACTTTCAGTTTCACTGCTTGATGCTTTTTAAATCAGAATGTATTTATGTTAAAAATATACACATAGTAGGTGCTCAATAAACATTATTTCTCTTTCTGGGTCAAAACTCCCATTTATTCATTCAATATTCATTTACTGAATATAAGCATTTGTGGAAAACTTATTATGTATAAGCACTACTCTGAAAGGAATACAAAGAGGAATATAACTCAGCCCTTGACCTCAAGGTACTTAATATTTATAATCAAGTACCAAAATCCTCTGCATCCTCAACCTCTTTAAATCTTTCCCTTTATCACCTTGTTCAAAACAAACCTTGGCTCCCTCCCGCTGAGGAAAATGCTGTCCCTCTGCCCTCTCAACTGTGCCTGTTTTGTTGTTTCCACAGCCTTCAAACAAATGGACCCAGAGGGAGATAGCATCCTTGGTCTTTATCACTTCTTCCACACCAGTTCTCCCTCTCTCCGCCCAACCAATCTCTACCTTTGAATCTCATGTCATCAGGCTTCATCTCTATTAGTCCTCATCTTTGTTACCATCCACCAACCACAAGGTCACTTCCCTCATTACTCAATCATTTCAACTCCTCACTGTCACTCTCTACAACCCTACTCATCTTAATTCCTGGCAATTTTTACATAGACATAAGTGATCTTCCAACATGCTGACTTCTCATTTGCTGGAGCTCCTCTCTTCTGGTGATCACATCTTTATCCCTACACCTTAGGGTCATACTCAGGACTGCAACCCCTCCATAATCACAACCCATCAACTGCATCCTGACCACTATCTCCTACATTTTCAGCACTCCAAACTCCAAACAATCTTTTATCCCATCAAGACTTTCAATCCATTATTCCTACCACCTTTTCACTTTGCCTCACTCCTTTGAAGTCTTTCCCCCTTCTTAACCAAGCAGTTTAAATGCTAAGGTCAATCATTATAATACCGCCCTGCATTCACTCGTAAGCTCCGAGCAAGCCCATTATCCTCACTAGACAAAACCATAAACCTGGAAAGGCCCAACTCTCCACTTGTACTTATTCCAACCATAGTGAGGAACTGCTCTTGAGAAAAACATTTACCCACACTATTTTCACTTTAAATATATGATCATGATATTCGAGTGTGTCCAATACCTACTATGTATTTCTCTAGTCTGTTCACATTCTGTGTCTCCTTAGAATAATTCACACCTTCTCTCTCCTCATAATCCCCAAAGCTCCAACACATTCTTGCCCAATGGCCTTGCCTTCCACTTCACTGAGAAAACTGAAGCAATTAAAAGAACTTTCACAGATGCCACCATCACATCTACTCTCTCCCCAGCATCTGTACCTATCTACCCTATTCCCTCTATTTATTAAAATGAAAACTCATGCATCTGTCCAATGCCAGTTCCATTTGTGCTCTAGGTCCTATCCCACCTCCCTTTCCAAGGAATTTGCTCCAACAACTCCTACCTCCCTCCTCTATCATCAATGTTCCCTCTCTACTGACCATTCCCACACCATGATTTCTCCTATCTTAAAACAAACGGGTACCTGGGTGGCTCAGTCAGTCGAGCATCTGACTCTTGTGAGATCAGGTCATGATCTCACAGTTTGTGGGTTTGAGCCCTGAATTGGGCTTTGTGCTGACAGTGCAGCGCCTACTTGGGATTCTCTCTCTCCCTCCCTCTCTCTGCCCCTCCCCCACTCACTCTGTCTCTCTCACAAAAATAAATGTTAAAAAAAAAAAAAAACCTCATTTGACTCTACTTTCTCTAACAGCTGTTGCTCTTATTTTTTTTCCCCTTTTCAGCAAAACTCACCTAAAGAACCCATCTCATACCATATACAAAAATTAATTCAAAATGGATAAAAAACCTAAATATAAGATCTAAATTCATAAAATTCTTAGAAATAACATGAGACTAAGTCTTTATTATGTTGGATTTGGCAATAGTTTGTTAGATTTGACACCAAAGCCTAAGCAACAAAAGAAATAATAAATTGAACTTCATCAAAATAGAAAACTTTTAAAAGATTTTAAAACTTTAAAAAAATGCTCAAAAGCACTAGTTATTAGGGAAATGCAAATCAGAACCACAATGAAATACCACTTCATACAACTAGGATGGGGAAAAAAAGGAAAATAACAAGAGCTGGAAAGGATGTAGAGAAACTGGAAACCTCATACATTACATTACTGGTAGGAATGCAAAATGGTATAGCTGTTGTGGAAGTTTCATGGTTCCTCAGTCAGTTGAATATAGAATTACTATATGACCCAGAAATCTCACTCCTGGGTATAGACTCAAGAGTACTGGGGCACCTGGGTGGGTCAGTCAGTTAAGCATCTAACTCTTGATTTCCACTCAGGTCATGATCTCATGGTTCCTGGGACTGAGCCCTGCATCAGGCTCTCTGTGCTGACAACAAAGAGCTTACTTGGGATTCTCTCTCCCCCTCTCTCTGCCCCACCCCTCCTTGTGTGCATATGCTCTCTCTCTCTCTCTGCCAAAACAAATAAACTTGAAAAAAAAAAGAGTACTGAAAACAAATGTTCAAACGAATATGCAGGAATGTTCATAGTGGCACTACTCACAATAACCAAAAGGTGAAAACTCAAACGTTCACCAATTGATGCATGGATGAACAAAATGTAGTAAATCCATACGATGCAGTATTATTCAGGCATAAAAATGAGTATTGATACCTGCTACAACATGGATTAACCTTGAAAATCTTACATAAAAGAAATCAGGCACAAAAAGCCACATATTGTATGATTCAAATTATTTGAAATATACAAAATATATAGTAATATTTTAATTTTTTGAGGGACTTCTACAGTGTTTTCCATGGTGGCTATACCAATTTACATTCCCAACAAGAATGTAGAGTTCCCTTTCCTCCACATCCTTACCAGCACTTGTTCTCTCTTGTCTGTTTGATAAGAACCATTCTAACATGTGTGAAGTGATATCTCATTATGGTTTTGATTTGCATTTTCCAGATGATTAGTGATGTTGAACACCTTTTCATGTACCTGTTGTATATCTTCTTTGGGAAAGTATCTATTAAGGTCCTTTGACCATTTTCAATAAAATTGTTTTTTTTTTACTAATGAGTTGTATGAATTCCTTATATATTTTGGGTGTTAATTCCTGATCAGGTATATGGTTTGCAAGTATTTTCTCCCATTCCACAGACTGCCTTTTCATTTTGTTACTCATTTCCTTTGTTATACAGAAGCTTCTTTGATGTCATCCCGCTTATTTATTTTTGCCTTTGTTCTTTGTGTTTTTGGTGTCATATCCAAAAGATCATGCCAAGACCAATGTCAAGGAGCTTTTTCCCTATGTTTTCTTTTAGGAGTTTTATGGTTTCAGGTCTTGCATTTAAGTCTTTTTTTATTATTGGGGGCAGGGGGCAGAGGGAGAGAGAATCTTAAGCAGACACTACACTCAGCATGGAGCCCAACACAGGGCTCTATCCCATGATCCTAGAATCATGACCTGAGCCTAAATCAAGAGTCAGATGCTCAACCGACTGAGCCATCCAGGCACCCCACATTTAAGTCTCTACTCCATTTCAAGTTAATTTTTGCCAATGGTGTAAGATAGGTGACCCATGACCTTAAATATTTTCTTTAGTCAGCTTCCAGGATATCAACCTTGTGGTTTTTCATCCTACATCACTAACCATTCCTATTTGCCTCTTCTCCTAAGACCTCTTAACATTGTGTGGCCCAGGACTCAGTCCCTGGTTCTTGTCTCTATATATACTCGCTCCTTTGATTATGTCATCCAGTCTCATGACTTTGTCCTCCCTACTGACAAACTACTAAATTTCTATCTTTAGCTCAAACCCCTCTTATATATCCAACCTAGACTTAAATCTAAATGCTAACCCAATATCTCTGCTTCAATATCCAAAGATCTGTCCAACACTGAACTTGGTCTCACCAGGTGTACACCTAGCCTAATCCTGTTTCAATGGCATTCTTCCCGACTTCAGTCAATCACTATTCTATCCTCCTAGTTCCAAGCCAAAACCCATTGACACACCTTTCATTTTTCTTTTTCTGTCACATACTACATACAAATCATCAGAAACCCTTCTGGCTCTATTTATATATCCACAATGACCACTTCTCACTTCTTCCACTATAACTACCTTGATCCCAATCACCACCACCTCTCACCTGGATTATGGTAACAGCCTTCTAAGTGGTTTCTGTGTTTTCTTGCTCCATACAATCTATTCACGACCTGTAGCCAGAATGCTTTTTTTTTTTTTTAAACTTCATTGAGGTATAATTGATACACAAAGAATCGCACATATTTAATGTGTATAATTTGACAAGTAGAGTGGATCCTTTTAAAACATCAAGTCAGGGGTGCCTGGATGGCTCAGTCAGTTAAGCATCTCATTTCGGCTCAGGTCAAGATCTCGCGATGTGTGAGTTCAAGCCCCGCATCAGGCTCTGTGCTGACAGCTCAGAGACTGGAGCCTGTTTCGGACTCTGTGTCTCCCTCTCTCTCTCTGCCCCTCCCCTGCTCTCATTCTGTCTCTCTTTCAAAAATAAATAAACATTAAAAAATATTTTAAAAATAAAAATAAATAAAACATCAAGTCAGATCATGCTTATTCCCCAACACCTTTCCAAGGCTCCCCACTTCCTTTAGAATAAAAGCCAAAGTTCCTAATGTGGTCTACAAGGCCCTATAGAATTTATACCTCTGTTACCTCTTTAACTTCACCTTCTATTACCCCCTACCTTGACCACCCCATTCTGGCCACATTGGCCATTCTGTTGTTCACTAAACATACCAGGCATACTCCCATCTTAGGACCTTCACACAGGCTGTTCTCTTCATCTAGAATGTTATTATCCCAAATAGCCACACAGCTAATTTCCTCATCATCTCCAGTCCTCTCAAATATCTCCTCAATGAGGCCTACCTATCTGTATTGAGATTACAACCTGTACTTCTCCTGTAACCCCACCTCCAATACTCCCAACTTCCCTTATCCTGTTTTATTTCTCCCTCATGGCCTTTATTACCTTCTCACACACTGTTTAATTTCTTATTTTTATTTATTAGTGTCTGTCCTTGAGAATGAAAACTAAGAACGTAGGAATTTTTGTCTGTTTTGTTCATGGATACATACCAAGTGTGCAGAACAGTACCTGACAACCAGTAGGCACTCACTGAACATTTATTGAATGATATATCTGTTTAGCGATAGATTAGCTAGGAACAGGTCAAGAAAAACTTTCAATGCTAACTTTAAAATATTTTATCAAAATTACATTAAAGCCATGCACTGTTATAAATGACATAAGCACAGCTGTAGAGCAGGAACTCCAAGCAATTCAGGGCCCGGGGCGCCTGGGTGGCTTAGTCGGTTGAGCGTCTGACTTCAGCTCAGGTCATGATCTCACAGTCTGTGAGTTCGAGCCCCGCATCAGGCTCTGTGCTGACAGCTCAGAGCCTGGAGCCTGCTTCGGACTCTGTGTCTCCCTCTCTCTCTGCCCCTCCCCCACTCATGCTCTGTCTGTCTCTCTCTCTCTCTCTGTCCCTCTCTCTCTCTCAAAAATAAATGTTAAAAAAAAAATTTTTTTTTTAATTTAAAAAAAAAGAAATTCAGGGCCCAAGAGCTACTATGTATGGTCAGATTATAGATCACTGAATGGGCTGCCTTTGTATGGGGTAGAAATTCTGGGGAATTTGAAAGCAAACCTTTCCATAGTTCCATCACCTGGCACCAGGAATTTGTGGAGGGTCAGCCAAGCCTCACTTAATAGTGGTAGGAACTAACTCAGGTTTAGACTTTGGAGGATGACACTAAGCTGTCCTCCTAGTCTGCAATGATGTGAGACAGTTTTGTTTCAAGCAAAGAAGCCTTCCACATAGGTCAGCCCAGCTCAGAGCAAGCTCTGCACTGAGATCTTAGTCCAAAGCTCCACCTAACAAAAGCAATACTTTTTCCATTTGTCATTGGTTATTCTGTCCATGGCTCTTCCACAGGAACCTAGCAAACACAGGATAAGGCATGGAAGAGTCACAGGATGGGACTGATCTAGGGCAGGATTCAAGTATTCCAATGTGTTCTGGGTAAACACTATTTTAATGTTGGGATAATATACCTCCACTGTCACCCAATATCTATGATGAACTGTGATGACCAGGAAAAAATTTTAATGCTCTTAAAACAAAGCAGTCTGATTAAGAATGGCCAATTGTGTCTAAACAAAGATTTTGACAAAAGAAACAGGACGGAGCCAACATATGAAAGCCCCTCAAGAGGTGAAAGAACAGAGAACAAAAGCTACTGAATAGATGTGGAAATGAATGAAATGAAAAAGGCAAAGATGATAAACAGCCTCCAATCTGAGGAAAAGCTCTTTAGAAGACATATTTATATTAGCATATAAAAAATATATATGAAGAAACAGACAGAAATAAGTGTGTCAGTAATAATTCTATGAAGCCTTTTCAATTTAAAATATTATATTTTATAAAGAAGTAAAATTGTAAGAAATCATTCTGGAAAAATACAATGTTATGAATAATTTTATCCAACTACATAACATTTGTCACTTAGGTGATTATATGTAGGTAACAAATTTATGTATATATTATAAACATATAATAATAAATAAATAAAACACATACTTGAAACATTTTTACTTACAATGATACCAAGAGAATGGACTTTTCATGTACTTGGAAAGAAAATAAAAAGAATGATAGTGCACAGCTAACCTTTAAGGAAAAAGGGGGAAGAATGAGATATAACAGCTTGTCAATCATAACAGCAGTTTAAATATGAATCTAAATAAAGTCATTTTAAGTAAAATTTTAAAGCTTAATGTAGCTTCTATCTAGAAAGAAAATACCTACACAACACTAATATGCATAATTTTATTCAAATTTAGTAAAATATTTATTAAAAAACAATGATTATACAGCTATACTTAACCATCAAAAACAAGTTCATTCAGACTCAGTTATGAATAAACAAAACTACTAAATACTTCAGACACAACAATCGTACCTTCATCCTCCCTTGGAATCTCTAACAATTAAATTAAATTTAATTTAATTAAATTTAATTTAATTTAATTAATTAAAAAGCATTGAAGGACAAGAAGTTCAAAATCTAAAACCAGCAAGACAAATCTATTTTAGTGTTTTTAAAATGTACATTTCAATAAATATATTGAATATTTTATAAAGTAATCATTTGTTATTTGGGGTTTTAAATCAAAATTATCTAGATCTATTTTCAGAAGGTTATGATCTGCATATTGGACATCTATCTACACAAATCCAACCCAGAGCAAATCCTATATACACCACCTTCTAAATACATTATCTACCTACTTCTTTCCACTGCCCTCTGCTGATGGTGGCAGAGGAGTGGTCTAAGCCACACTCATCTTTCTCTTGGACTCCTGCCACAGCCTCCTAATTGGTAACTACACTCTTGCCTCCCACAGTCCACTGTGCACTCAGCCACCACACCAGATCATGTAAATTTCCCTATTTAAGGTCCTCAGGTAGCTTCCCATGAACACTAAGAATGAAATCCAAACTCCTATATGGGTTCTGCCTTCCTGTTCCAGCCTATTTCTTACTGCCTCCCTCACTCACTCCATACCAGCCATTTCATACCTGTCTATGTGCCAAATATGCCAATGTGTTCATGCTTTAAAGAAAAACATTTTATCAAGTCAGAGCACAGATCTTGTGAATGGCTCCTTCTGGCCATTCAGTTCTAGGCTCAAAATGTCACTTACCTCAATCTAACCAAATCCATCAGCACTCTTTTCACCTAATGCTATTTTCTTAATAATCCTAATCACTCCCAGATATTTCCTGGTTAACAGATCTATTTTGTTGCTTATCCTTTCCTGCCACTAGCATGAAAAACCCCAATTAAGAGAACAGGGAGGTTACCTGCCATTCACTTACACACCAGTACCTAGAAAAGGACCTCCTCGCACATTAGAGGGCATTCGAAAAATACTACTTGAATAAATTAAAGACAATCACTTTGCTGCTATAGATGTATTAGTGTTCACACTATCAACTACCTCAATTACAGACTTATGTTGAGAAATAATTCAATCTTTACTGAAAGGAATACACTTGAAAATAATTATAATGGGACATGATTTCAAAGTTCTCAGAAGTAATCAGTAAAAATTCAAAACATCAACACAAATAAAATTACAGAAGTCATTAATATAAATCTTTTTTAGTTTTTTAAACATAGTGGCTTGTACTAAAACAGCAAACAGCGGCACCTGGGTAGATCAGTCGGTTAAGCATTCAACTCTCGATTTAGGCTCAGGTCATGATCTCACGGTTCGTGAGCTTGAGCCCCGCATCAGGCTCTGAGCTGACAGTGCAGAGCCTGTCAGAATCCCAAGTGGATTGTCTCTCTCCCCCTCCCCCAATCATGTTTTCTCCCTCCCTCCCTCTCTCTCTCAAAATAAATAAATAAACTTAAAAAAATAGCAAACAGAAATAGGAAAATAAGAAAAATTAGGAAATAGGAATTAGGAAAATAAGAAAAAATTAGGAAAATACGGGAAAAAATGTTTTTCCTGGCTTATAATCCTAAAAGTAATTACCTCTAACACTGCTACGGTTACTTAAGTTCTGAAATTTCATTTGCTTATCTGTGAAATCTACCTTTATTAGTATGTTATTTCTTAGAAAAATAGCATAATCTCATGTAAGCCTGCAAATATTTCAAGTTAAGCCTACTGAAGACATCAGAGCATTACTAACCAGATTCCTTCTGTTCTAAAAATCCTATAGAATATTAACTGTCGATGACTTACAATGCTGAGTTCACTCTCAGAATGAAACAAGAGAAGCTGTCAATGAAACGGTAATAAAAAAGCAAAGAGGAAATGAAACCATCCTTTTCACACTGTGGTACTCATACATACTTTTGCAGTATTTACCATTATGTGCTGGCTTGTTTTCAAAATGCAATGTAAATAAGTGGCAGTCCCCAAACTGAAACCATAATTTCTAAATTGTTGTCTCCTTAGAAGTCCACTAAGACTTTTGTTTTCATAAACTAAATTTTTTTGGTATTTTAAAAAGATATTTTTAAAATGTCATTTTATAGGGGTGCCTGGGTAGCTCAGTCAGTTAAGTGTCCGACTTTGGCTCAGGTCATGATCTCAGTTGGTGAGACTGAGTCCAGTGACAGGCTCTGCACTGACAGTGCAGAACCTGCTTGGGACTTTCTCTCTCCCTCTCTCTCTGCCCCGCCCCTGCTCGTGCTGTCTCTCTCCCTCTCTCTCTCTCTCTCAAAATCAATAAATAAACTTTAAAAAATAATAAATAAATAAAATGTCATTTTATTGATCAAGGCACAAAGGAACAAAATTTTAAACACTACAGAAATACAGCCAAGGAGGATATTGTGAACCCATTCAGAGACATCCTAAGTTGTAGGAAATATAACCAATTCATCCTCAAACTAACACAAGTCATCTTCCTAAAACAGATATCTGTCCACTCTCCTCAAAGATGTCTTTTGGCTCCTTTGGCACACAAATCAAACTCCAACTTTTTGAATCCAACATTCAAAGTCTTACCCAGTTTGATCCTTTTTGACTCTTATCTCTCACTATATCCTCTCCTAACCTCAACACACACACACACACACCTTTCATTGTTTAATAACCATTATTAGCATCCCCTATCCTTTCCCGCCTCTGTATCTGCAAGCTCTTCCTCCTGCCTTGCATTCTCTTCTGCTATATAACCTCCTCCTATTTCAAATCTTGCCCAGCTTTCAAAATTTGGCTCCAATCCCACTTATTCTAAGAAGCTGTCTAAAATCTGCCCCCAGGGGCATGTGAATGGCTCAGTCAGTTAAGCATCCAACTCTTGGTTTCGACTCAGGTCGTGATCTCAGTTTGTGAGAGCAAGCCCCGTATTGGGCTCTGAGCTGACAGCACAGAGCCTGCTTGGGATATTCTCTCTCTCTCTCTCTCTCTCTCTCTCTCTCACTCACTCAAAATAAATAAATAAACTTAAAAAAAGTTTTCTTAATCTGACCCCGAAGTAGTATCTCCCTTTCCCACACTATTACAACACTAAACGTGTAATAGACCTTAATACCATCTGCTTTATAGCATAATTATTTAAACATGTCTGTCACCACTCTTTTCTTCTTTGTATTCCCTCACTGACTAATACAAAGCAGAAGTTAAATAATTGTTGAGTTAAACTGAAAGATTCTGATTATTCATTCAGCCTAGCACCTAAGTATGTCAGACACTCAATACATGCTCACCAAATAAATGAATGTATTATTTCTCAGTCCAGTCAGAGCAAGAATATAATTATCAGTTGCAGCAAGAATTAAGTATTTAAAGTAATAAGAAACTTACCAGAGTAAATCTGAATCCTTTGGAAGAGGGCTGAAGTGTTAATTTTACACATGCAGGAAGCAGGCTCAAAAATGTAAAACAAAAGCTAAAAAAACGAATAAAAATAAAACATTTGTTTTCTTGGTAGCAGTATCTAAAACAAGGAAATATTTTTTTAATGTAAGGATCACATTACTTACCAACTTAGGTTGATTTAAAATTAAAGTTATATTTTATTTATTAAAATTAAAAAAAATTTTTAATGTGTATTTTATTTTTAGACAGAGAGAGACTGAGCATGAGTCGGGGCAGGGCAGAGAGGGAGAGAGACACAGAATCAGAAGCAGGCTCCAGGCTCTGAGCTGTCAGCAGAGCCCGATGCGGGGCTCGAGCTCATCAACCACGAGATCATGACCTGAGCTGAAGCTGGACACAACCGACTAAGCCATCCAGGCACCCCTATTTTTATTTATTAAAATTTAAATTTAAAACCAAATAACATTTAAATAAAATCCATGCACTGAAATATTTAGCCACTTTAATATATACATGATTACATAATACAGAAAACAACATTACAATACTTATGTTATTTATAGAAAAGAATCAAAAAACAGATAACTAGAAGTCAATTATCAAACACTCAAAATTAAGAAAACACAACCAGGTATAAAAGGGACAATATATAATACAAACAATCATAACATTTATTCGCAAGAGAATCTCTCTGGCCCCCTTCTCACAAAAGTTAACTACCTGATTTTCAAGCCCATGATAAATCAGAAAGAACAAGTTAGAAAGGGAGTGGACCACTGCTAGAGCCTCTCCTAGTAATGGCTGATGAGCAAGGAGGAAAAGGAATTCAAAAGGTAGAGCCATCTGGAGCCATTAAGTACCATGGCAAACAGCTTTTGCAAGCCCTGAAGACAAGTATTACAACACAATACAATAATTGATTTTCCCACCATTGGTGGCTTTGTGGCAGTGTTAACCCGGATTAGCTGAACCACAGTTCCCTGAATTCTCTTTCTAGTATGCTTCCTCCTACAGTGGGCTACACAGGATATTCTCAAAACAACTAGAGGACAGAGGGAGGCAGCACCCATTCTGTAGCATGCACACATACACATTCTCCCAGTTATTCAAACACTAATCTTGGTGTTGCTGGGAAGAGATTTTGCAGATGTAATCAAAGTTCCTATTCAGCTGATTTTTAACTTAATCAAAATTAAGATTCTTGAACGGCCTGGCTTAATCAGTTGGAAGACTTTCACTTGTGTTTTTTGTTTTTTTTTTAATTTTTTTTTTTTTTTCAACGTTTATTTATTTTTGGGACAGAGAGAGACAGAGCATGAACGGGGGAGGGGCAGAGAGAGAGGGAGACACAGAATCGGAAACAGGCTCCAGGCTCTGAGCCATCAGCCCAGAGCCTGACGCGGGGCTCGAACTCACGGACCGCGAGATCGTGACCTGGCTGAAGTCGGACGCCTAACCGACTGCGCCACCCAGGCGCCCCAATGTGTTTTTAATGTTTATTTATTTTGAGAAGGAGAGAGAAAGAATCCCAAGCAGACTCCACTACATGGGGCTTCATCTCACAACTGTGAGATCACAAACTGAGCCAAAATCAAGAGTCAGATGCTTTAACCAACTGAGCCACCCAGGTGCCCCTAGAAGACTTAAAAGAGGGCTTACGCCTGGGGGCACTTGGTGGCTCAGTTAAACAACAGACTTCAGCTCAGGCCATGATCTCACGGTTCGTGGGTTCAAGCCCCACACTAGGCTCTGTACTGACAGCTCAGAGCCTGGAGCCTCCCTCTGTCTCTCTGCCCCTCCCCTGCTTGTGCGCTCTCTTTCAAACATAAATAAATTAACATTTTTTATTAATGTTAATTAATGTTAATTACTGTTAATTTAAAATGTTGATTAAATTAATGCTAATTTTAAAAAATTAAAAAGAAAAGAGGGCTTGGGGCTTCCCTAAACTCAGATTCCAAAGAGCAACTGGATTTGAATTGCTTTTCCTTCCCCTTTAGATACTCCTTCCCGAATGCCTGCCTTGTGGACTTCTACGCTCTTCAGTCAGACCCCGCAACTGTATAAACCAAAGCCTTGTAATAAATTCACACGCACCCACACACCTCCTACTGATTCTTCTCTGGTTGAACCCAGATTGATATACACCACTGAAAATCATGACTCCTCAAGACAGTGTTTAATCCTATTTAGTAGACTTTGTTTAAGGGGGAGGGAAGTAGGTAACAATCCAGAAAGATTATCACATTAAATATTGCAAATAAAAGTTTTGTTGTGTAGAGTGATAGGTTTATATTATGTGGAAAATTCACTAATGAAAAACATCTCATTCCCTAATGATGTCAGATAAATGAGTTATTATCATAACACTTTTAGAGAGAAGCTTATATAACATTATATACAAACTTTTTATCTCTTACCTGATTATTATCTGGAAGTGGTGTGGCAAAATATCCTTGATCTTCAGAAAGATACTGAAGCTGCACCAAATATTGGCTACTTTATCCTGAAAAGAGATTTGTTAAATTTTACATTCTGAGGGGCGCCTGCGTGGCTCAGTTGGTTAAGCATCCGACTTCGGCTCAGGTCATGATCTCACGGTCTGTGAGTTCGAGCCCCGTGTCAGGCTCTGTGCTGACAGCTCAGAGCCTGGAGATGGTTTCGGATTCTGTGTCTCCCTCTCTCTCTGACCCTCCCCCGTTCATGCTGTCTCTCCCTGTCTCAAAAATAAATACATATTTAAAAAAAAATTTACATTCTGATATAACTGAAAGAAATATTAAATTCTATGAGGTACAGCCCATAATCTCTAAACTTTTGAGACATGAAGCTCTTGTTCACAATTTTATAACTAAGTTGATTAAACTCTCCATGGAACACACACACACACACACACACACATACACACAAAAATTCTTCATTTTTTTTGCAATGCAAACTGACCTATATCACTAGCCAATCATAATCTAGACATTCCCAAGAAATGTTCATTATTTTTTAAACAACAGTACACGATCCCTAAATACTGAAGTTTATTCATCTTTGGAAATTTTTCTAGGAAATCTTATTTTTTTCCTAATTTATAAAACATACATTTTTGACCCACTTTATCACATACCTGAAATTATCTCAAGTATAACTTACTAGCAACTAACAATGACAAGAGTTAATTGCTAATAAATCAAGGCATTTAAAGACATTAGCAGTTGTGGTAGGATCACTTTCAAAATTAAATTTGTAACTACAGCTCTCTGCCCGTGAAACCCATCCTCTACACAGCTGCTTAACTCACAGCTGTGTAAGCATAACATCAAGAAAGTAACCATCACTGACAACTGTACCACCCTCCTTCCCTCTGTCAGATCAAAGAAAATACTCTTCAGATTTTGAGGACAAGTGAATGGAGGTGACCAGCAACCCCATCAAACATTATGATACTCATTTTTATAATTATCATGATAAATACTATTTCTGAAATAGAAACAAGGCAAATAACCAAGCAGTTTAGATGGAGAATTAAACTTTTCTTTAAATAGGCTTTAAGGTTAGAGGAAATATAAAGAAGTTAGGAACACAATTTTCAAAATTCAAACCACAGCTCTGCCATGTACAAGCTACATGAATCTCTGACCTGAGTTTTCTAAAATTTTTTTTTAATCTTTATTTTTGAGAGAGAGAGACAGAGACAGAGAGACAGAGACAGACCGTGAGCAGGGGAGGGGCAGAGAGAGAGGGAGACACAGAATCTGAAACAGGCTCCAGGCTCCGAGCTGTCAGCATAGAGCCTGACGTGGGGCTTGAAACTCAGGGGCCATGAGATCATGACCTGAGCCAAAGTCAGATGCTTAACCAACTGAGCCACCCAGGCACCCCATCTGACCTCAGTTTTCTAATCTACAAAGTGGATACAATAGATACCTCAGTCAGAGCTATTGTAAGAATCAAATAAAACCACATGTGAAGTATGTGGCACCTAGTAAGTAGAGTGGTGACAATAATAGTGATTATTTGTGATTATCAATATCAGTAGCAGCAGTATCCCCATCAACATACAAGTCACACATTCCTATTCCATCACAACACAAAACTCTTTTCTTATCTCTTTCAAAATGCTGGTTCCATCCTCCTATAGATCCACCAAAAGATAATCTAGAACAATTTATATATTCAAAAATTAGATCTACTTTTCTAATTCTTTTTAAAAGAAATGTTTATCAAAAGCAAATTATCTCTAAATATGTTGTCTCTGTCTAACTTTATTAAAAGGCCTTTTTGTTTCAGAAAAATGGTTTGTTTAATTTAATTACTAAATCTAAATCATCAAATTATCCATGTAATAAAAGTTTAACAAGAGTGATTAAGCTAGCATTAAATGAAATGAAATGAAAGATTCTCATTAAAAATTACTATGGATGAAGGTTATATAAGGAATTATGAGATCTTGCTGAAGCAAACATGATTATTAGTTTAATAAATAATTTCCTAAGACTAAAAAGAGAATATAAACCAAAAAATTACAAAGCTGTTAACTTTGTAGCTACAACTTCTCATGCTGTCTTTCACTATGGATCCTATTTCATTATAAAAATGTATAATTGAATTATGGCTTTCATGATGGCATAAATATTATCTATTCATTTAATGTACTAGAAACTGACAGCTGAGCTAGATTATATACTGGATTAAATAACTGGCAAGGAATGACTGAAAGGAGTGCAGCTGAAGTTACATTCCTTGTGTGTCTTCTACATGAAATCCCCAGGACTCACAGCACAGGTAGTGTAACAAGAAAAGAGTGAGAAGAAAATTTAGGGTTTTTTTTTTTAATGTTTATTTATTGGGGGGAGTGATAGAGGGGCAGAGAGGGAGACAGAAGATCCAAAGTGGGTTCTGCACTGACAGCAGAGAGACCGATGCAGAGTTCGAACTTACGAACCACAAGATCATGACCTGAGCCGCAGTCAGACACTCAACTGACTGAGCCACCCAGGTGCCCCAATGAGAAAGACGTTATTTTGTTTGTTTAAATGTTTATTTACTTTGAGAGAGAGCGGAGGAGGGGCAGAGAGAATCCCAAGCAGGCTCTGCATAGCACCAAGCCCAACATAGGGTTCAAACTCATGAAACTTGAGATCATGACCTGAGCCGAAATCAAGAGTTGGGTTCAACCAACTGAGCTCAACCGGCTGAGCCACCCAGGTGCCCTAAGAAGAAAGTTTTTAAATATACCTCAAACAATCCACGATCAACTGGGAAGAGTCTTCTTAGAACTTGCAGTGTTTGCTCCCTTTCTGTACAGAATGGCAGCCAGCAGAGAATGAAGGAAGCTACAACCGTACAAGCTAGCTTAATTAACAATACAAACCTAGAACAAAAACAAAGGTGACCAGTAGACAAGGAAAGGTTAATAATTCTAAGAAATCAGTCTCAGTCTCACTAAAGATGATAAATACAAATATACAGCAATAATAAATCTATGCTACTAAAAAAGGTTTAATATGGCAGTCTAGTCAAATCAGAGTTAAGCAATTCACAATCATTAAGATGTACACCTCTCTAACAAAGACTATCACCATCTTAATTAACATTTAACTTAGATGCCTTTCCAATCAGCCATGAAAAAAAATGTCAAACTGGGATGTATTTCTAGTAAGTATAAAATGTAATATGCTCTAAATGGATGAAATCTTATAGCAATACTCTAACAAGAGCCAATCCACATTACCTCCAGTAAATTTACATAGATCAAAATATTTCTCTAGTTTGGAAGATCTAAAATAATACAGAACATGACAATCTCTCTTCCAACTCACTTCAGAGCCAACACATTAATAAGAAGTCACCTAAAGGCAAAATGAAAGACCACCTTCTCCCTGGTTAAGTATGCCAAATAAATTCTCTGAAGTAATTTTTAAAATTCTGTAGTGTAAAAGCCACTCACCCCTTTCCTTTCAGGCCTTTTTTAAAACACTTGCCGAGTAAAAAGCAAAAAAATGGCAAAGAGTGGTAAAGTTCCATCTGTTTATAATTTATAGCTAAGCAAAATGCCAACGAGCCTAGCAGGTCCCAGTCACAAGATACTCCAAGAACACCCCACAAAGCAAAGCCAAGACTCACAGAATTATATATGTTCCTGTGTCAAGGAAATTATCTCAATAATTAAAACAAATAGATCTTGCATTTTATAGAACATATTTCTTATGTGATTTTAAAACAATATATACAATGAAAGCTATTTCTAAACAGAAATTTAAAGTATTGAAGTCATAAACTAATTTGAAATTGTATATAATGGCCTCAAATATATTAAATCAGACTGCTAAATAGAGCAACAGATTTGTTCCAGGTTTAAAGACCACTAAGTAGTTAACACGTAGCGTTGTTTCTGCTAGACTATTTCACACTATTACTATAATAACATACCAAAATCTAGACAAGAAAACAATGCTCCAAAGTAAAACACACACATACTGATATCACTATACCTCCTCTATAATATGAATCAATATAGTAAGTTATAAGTTGATCAGAAACTAATAACCTTATTATAGCAAAACAACATTACAATTAGATTTTTCAGCTCAAATGTTAGCTACGCACTCATGTTTGCCCTCCTCTCCTTCCCAAGACCCCCTTAAAATGATAGGGAATTTTTAAATATTCACAGCTGTAAAAAAGAATAGGAAGATGGGTTACAACAGATAAAGATTTCAACACACTTCTAGAAGACAGAAAGGACACATAAGCAGTAACAAATAGAATGGAAGAAGCCAGAGCTTAGAAAATGCATACAGGAGGCCCAAGCAACCAAGAAGCCAATCTACTCTGCAAGCCCCTAGACCACTCAGGAAACACCATGAAGGTTAGGGTGCTTGAGTAACATGTTGAAAAGAAAACAGGAGGATTAAGTGAAAATGCCTAGATGGAGAAGTCAAATCCCATCTTACTCCTGTGTAGAGATTATCTGGCAACCAAATATTTACCACCACTACCCCATCCCCTACCCCCAGGGAACAGAAGGAATATTTCTCCAAAGAAGTGTAATAAACTATATACACTAAATACACTAGGGCAGCTAGTGTAGAAGTTAACATTACAGTGCCAAACCTCCACATTCTGACACTTAAGGACCCCAAAGTGTACTGGCCAGCCCCTTGCCCACTTACCTTATAGTGGGCCAAATACAGAGAACTCACATGCAGCTTTCTTTTCTGTCATACTCTTAAATAATCACAGATACACTAGGATGAGACACACATTTAAGAAAAACCTATGACAAGAGAAAGAACCAGAAGGAAAAGGGGGAAAAAAAGTCACCCTAGAAGAATGGACATAATTCAGGGAATCGTAGAAAAAAGAATAAATTCATATTTAAGATAGGATTAACAAAACAAATGAAACTTAACAGAAGCGTTAGAGATAAAGTCAAGATAATCTTGTATACCATAAAACAAAAGACAAAGAGATGCTCAACACAGAGATGAAAGCTCTAACATCTGTCTAATAAGCTCAAGAAAGAGTAAAGTGAGAAAATCATCAAACCCGAGAATTTCCCAGAACTCAAGAACATGAGTCTTCAAAATAAATGACACATAGAGTATTCAAAATAATTGTCACAAATACCTATGCCTGAACAAATCATTTCAGAGCCCAAAAAAGTAAAAAATAGTTAAAAGCAGCCACAGCAGCAGCAAGAACAACAGATAATAATAGCAATAAATACTCATATAGAGCTTAGTATCTCCCAGGTACTGTTTTAAATGCTATAAATAATAAAATCCATTTAATTCTCAAAACAAGCACACAAAATGTGGTGCCTGTCTGGCTCAGAAGAGCATGCAACTCCTGATGAGATCAGGGTCATGAGTTCCAGCTCCATGTTGGGTGTAGAGATTATTTAAATAAACAAACAAACTTAAAAAAAAAGTATACAAAGTAAGGGTAATTATTATCCCCATTTAATAAATGAGGAAAATAAAATACATAGTAGTTAAAAAATGTGTCCCCACCAGATTACATAATCCCAAAAGCTTCAAGAGTTTGATGTTAATCACAGAGGAGATACAAATTCATCAGGATGTTTAAAACGAAAATGGCCAACTACTGATGAAGATGAGTATTTGGAACACTAACATCATTTCTAACAAGAATGTTAAGTGGTACACCATGCTTAAAAACCACTCAGGAATATCTAAAATTAAACATGTAATATACCCTATAACTCTGCAATTTCTCTCATAAGAAATATATTTATATGTGTACAAAGAGACATTTATAAGACTGTTCGTAGCAACATATCATCATAGCCAAAACCTGGAAACAATCCAAATGTCTATGAGTAACAAAATTATGTGTATTCTTTCAATAGAACATAGAGCAATGTAAGTGAACAAACCACAGCTACACACAACTACAAAATAACTCACAAAATGTTGAACCAAAAACACAAAACACAAAGGAATACCTGTTGTGTTGTCTCTTTTATATTAAGTCCAGAAAAGAGGGAAAACTAAACTATAGTGTTATCAGTTGGTATGTGGCTATCTTTGGGAAAGGAGGAGAGAGAAGTACTTAGGAGCTGTACAAGTGCAGATTTTGGATCCTGGCAACATTCTATTTTTTGACTCCTGGTAATCGTTTGTCAATGCACTGAGACACACATTTACATTTTGTGCACTTTTCTGTAAGAGTGTTACATTTCAAAGTAAATACAGTTCTTAAAATCTCGTAAACAACTTTTTTTGTTGTTCTTTTTTTTCTTTATTTCAGCGTTCCTGATATTATCAGAATTATCAGATGGCCATGATCCCAGATTGCAAAAAAACAAAAAAGGCAACTAGGAAAGTGGACAGAATAAAAACTCTGATTTAATCTTTTGTAAATCCTTTGACAAATACACATATTAATTTTGTTATAACTAAAACAGACTGGCATCAAAAGGAAAAGCTATCAATCGATCATGTTGCTGTGGGACAGATGGGGACAGACAGTAATAGTTAATACATCAGAAGATAAAATGGACGGTCATGTCCAAATTTTATCAACTTTCCTCTAAGATATGTTTGAATGTTCCTTACTTTACATATCAAAAAATTACACACATAAAATCCACATAGCTTTTAATTATTCAGTTTTAGTTCTCTGAAGCTTCCAGTTACCGCTATCTGTTAGAGAAACATCTTGGTTTAAAACTCGAAAAACTCGATGACTATTTCCTTTCTGTCAATGTCAGATGACATTTACAAAAGATAGAAGATATGTTACACCTCTTTAGAGTTAGAAGAGCATAAGCATACTTGGCACTCTTTTTCCAGGTCTCCAGAAGAGCTCATCAGTGACCAACATTTTGTTCCCAAGCCAAAAGGGTATAAGAAAAGCAATTCTACTTTCAATAAATCTGTACTTTACTCTTAAAGTAAAAGCTTGGTGAAAACATTCTATCATATTATTGTGAAAAACAGTTTAAATAAGTTAAATAAACAGTTTAAATAAAAAAACAGTTTAATAAGTTTAAATAGGGTAAATGTCTTACCCTAGCAAGTAAGACATTACTGGATGACAACATTATACACCCTGAGCCTAGATCTCAAAATACGCATCTGACTTCATTTTTAAATTAGTAAAGGATACTGAAAATGTCCATAGTCGATAAGAATAAGGCCTGGATACAGCAATATGCATAATGCATTAGCAACCTGTAAAGAAAAACATTGTGAAATAAGAAAGTCACGTTACTCAGGGGCATCTGGGTGGCTCAGTCAGTTAAGCATCCAACTCTTGATCTCAGCTCAGGTCACGATCTCACAGTTTCATGGGTTCAAGCCCCATGTCAGGCTCTATGCTGACAGTGCCAGGCCTACTTGGGATTCTCTCTTTCCTTTCTGCCCCTCCTCCACTCTCTCTCTTTCTCTCAAAATAAATAAACATTAAAAAAATTTTTTTAAAAAGTCATGTGACTCAAATCAGAGTAAGACTACTGTTTGATTCAACACAGCAAATGTTCCCTCTCACCTTGTAATTTATCAAAATTTTTATAAATTATTTTTATAAAATATTTCTCCAAACACTGAGGTTTTCATGGAGGTGACATAAGATACCTCAGTAATAAGGGAAAAAAATCACTAACAGGTATTTGTCAGAGAAAGCACGTGTAGATATACAAATCAAAGAAGTCAATCTAATGATTAACCTGTATAAAATGACCCGAAGGAATATCTGTTAAGTGGGAATAAGACAATATACACCGACTCTTCAAAATGCCTTCCTTCCCACAAACCATTCAGATTTATCAGTAAAGCCATAAATTCGGTATGCTATGTAATCCAGCAGTACATAACATCTAAATCCCAGGCATCTTATTACTACAGTTGAACATTGCAATTATTAGTCTAAGGTAAGTTTAACTGACAAAAGAATCACTGTTCTACAATAGCCTATTCCCCAAAGCATGGCTTCTGTAAGCTCTATACTTTAATAGTGAAGCTAATAAAACATTTCAGAGATGAAATGTCAGGTTAACTTTAAAACTTACCTTTTTCTTAGTTGAGATTTCTTTTAAACAACAACAGTATAAAACTACTGCTGGTATATAAATCAGCAAGTCAGCAATTAACACTGAAAAAGCAACCAAATCATTTTAAACATGGGTCTGCTGGGATTTTCAATAACATATGAAAAGCCATCCTCCCCCGACTCTAACCCTGAGTGGAAATTCTGTTAACAGGAGGCTCTCACCCACTCTGGACAAAGCCTTTACACCCTGTCCGTTCCCTTCACCTGTGCCTAATTTCAATTGTTATGGTGCTACAACTCTAAGAGTCTTGTAATTATCTCTAATAAATTCACACATTAAATCAATTAGATGTATCCAAAATTCATTCCCTCTTTGCTCTGACTTAGACTTAAGGATACTCAAAGCAAAGGAAAACAACACTTTTTTGCCAGCATCTGTATATTCCAAATTTTCTGGTATGAAGTATACCTCAAATGATGCAATTCATGTAAGAATCCTTTTTAAATGTTAATATTTATAAAACTACATAAACTTTTGCTAATTAATGCATATAAAGAGCTTGACAGACCCAGGTAAGGAGGAAACTGAAAAACACAGTTAAAAAAAAAACCAATTCATAATTTGGAATGTTCAGTTCTTTTAGAACAAAGAAATACAAATACATTAAGTTCTTCAACAGTACAACATAGCTACCCAACGAGACTATTTTTTTTGTTGTTCCAGGCTAACTACAGTGTCCAGAATAAGGTAAATGACAGTAAACTGTCAGTTTTAGAAGCATGCAATCTATTTTCAGCTCCAGATGCCACATTTAAGATGACACTGACAAAATGGAACATATTCAAAGGAGCACAACCAGAGGCCTCAAACCATAATCACATTCAACAAGCTGGCCATCTAAGAAATAGCTAACGTATCTAAAAATATTTAACCTGGAGAAGAGGTGACTTCAAATGTCTGTAGGCTGTTAGGTATACAAAGGATCAGACTTGTTCTATGTAGCCTAAGGAAACAGAACCTAAAGTGACAAGTGGAGGTTCAACATAAAAAGGAAATGTTGAGTGACTGGGGCCCTCTGAAAATACAACAGACTGTTTCTAAAGGTTGTGAGTTCCCAGATACAGGTATTAGTTCAGAAGCTAAATAATCCTCCAGTGAGTATGCAGTTCAGAGAGGATTAAAGCTCTGTGAGGAAAGGAAAATGGTATGGCAGAGGGAAAGACAGGCAAGACAGATTATCTCTTGGGCCTCAGATTTCATGACTGGATGAATGATGAAGAGAACAAACTCCAACTAAATTCAGACTAATGAAGGAAAAGGCCAAGACAGAGCATTAAAGTCTAAATCATGTAAAGCTTTTAAAGAAACCTAATCTTACTACTTTCAAGCTCTTAGAAGAGCACATAATACATGCTCAATATATACCTGTTGAATGGATTATTTAATTTAGCAAAAATGCACAGCAATACAATGTATAAGATATAACCACAAGGTTTACTTTAAGAAAAAGGTGAGGGGCATCTGGGTGGCTCAGTCGGTTAAGCGTCAGTCCAACTCTTGATTTCAGCTCAGGTCATGATCTCCTGACTTGTGAGTTTGAGCCCTGTGTCAGGCTCTGCGCTGACAGCACAGAGCCTGCTTGGGACTCTGTTTTTCTTTCTCTCTCCCTCTCTCTCTCTCTCTCTCTGCCCCTCCCCTTCTCACTCTCTTTCTTCCTCTCTCTCTCTCAAAAATAAACATTAAAAAAAAAAAAGGTGAAAGGAATTTGGAATAAAGATATTAATGCAGCAGTAAACAACTAAAACTTCAATTTATGGCTATCTGACCTCAGGTAAGCTATTAGCATCACTCAACTGTGCTTCCACCCCCTTAGATTAAAGTAAAGATAGTAACAGTATTTAGCTCATTTGGGTATTGAAAGAATTGAGATAATAATAAATGTAAAGCACCCGAAATTATTCCTATTCTCTTGTTTTTCAGCTTACATATACATTTGATTATGTATTATACATATGTATACATACAGTTACACAATATTAAAAGTCAATAAGAGTAATAGAATTTTCTATCAGTTTATTCACAATTTTTTTAAAAATCAAAATGTGCTTTGAGAATCAACTCCTTTGCTCTCTTACCTGTGGTACGCATAAAGAGCTTATGTGCCTGACTTTCATATCCACGTGATGTATGGAGAGCAATCCAGTCTGGATTTATAAACTTTGCCCTGAAAAATCAAAGCATATATACACATACAGTATTACTCATCTCTTTTAGCCATAAGAACATCTGAAGACATATGAATCTATTTCAAGAAGTGCCCATTGCTCTTACGCTTCACTCTTTTATTTAATCATGTGAAACTGACTTAAGCTGTAAAACAGGGTCTACCTCACTCACCTTCCAACAAAACCATGTAACATGTCACAAAAATCCCTACCTTCACAATTCTTTCAGTATAAAAACAATCTGATGTGTCATGTTTCATTTATTAAACACATACTTTATAAAGGACAATATGCTAGTATTGACCAAAGGATTATGTTTTATAGTTTATAATCTTCTCAGTTATCATAACAATCAGCAATAGTTACTAATTATAAATCATTGCATAAAAGTAAACATAATTTTTAAAGATAAATTAAATTTTCAACCATATTATGTTACTCTGAGCACTACAAAGTATATCTGATTATCATAAACTTTAGGGACTTATTTTTAATCCAGGAAGCTAATTTTCACAAACTATGAATAAAGGAAAAATAAAAACCAAATAAGATTTGAGCTTGGAAAGTAATATGAATAAGTTCCTCAAATTTTTGCTAGCACACTTCAAGTCTGAAATGGGATACTATTAAAGAGCAAGACTGGGGGTGCCTGGGTGGCTCAGTCAAATATCTTACTCTTGATTTCGGCTCAGGTCATGATCTCACGGTTCATAAGACCGAGCCCCACACAGCACAGAGCCTACTTGAGATTCTTTCTCTCCCTTTCTCTCTGCCCCTCCCCCACTCATGCTATCTCTCAAAATAAATAAACATTTTTTTAAAAAAGAGCAAAAATGAGTCTCCACCAAACAGAAGTTTCATAATCTTCTATAAACCATTCTATTTCTTTAAAAGAGAAGGAATTCCAACCTTGATCTTAAATCCTAAGTGAGACACTATAGTAATTAGAGTTTCTAACTTGACATGTTAGTCAGAATACCATTTGGACCTCTATCTTTTTCATTCACTGTGGACCATTCCATAAAAAAAAGCATACACAACTAACCATATTAGATGTATTTGTCAGTAGTCCATGAGTAATTACTAGTATCTGTGCTTCAAAACAAAGGTAGATTTTTACATTTCTTTCTAGCCTATCCTCCAAAGAAATTATGGAAATGTTCAAACTTTGATAGTTAACTTACAACCTGACTGCAAAGGTATAATGCTTTACAAACCACAATACAAAAGTAGGTACAAACAATCTGTCCTCTACTCAACAAACCCAGATCACACAGTTTCTTACTAAACCTGTTAAGCGCATAAACATTTAGAGTTACATTAAAGACAAAAAACTTACACATATGCACATAAAAGACTATGATAGGCTGTAAGAGGTGGATAATCCAATCCCCAATATTGTAGATTGTTATCACTACTGTTAAAATACCTAGAAAAAAAAAGCAACATTCCATTAATCAATATTCAAGAAACAGACTTATAATTTAACATCTCATTTAATTAAAATGAAAAAATATGTTATACAAGATAAAAAAAATTCATCTAAACTTTGTCTTTTCCCCTTCAGTTAAATTTTGTGAAATCACAATTAAAAGTTTTTGAGTACAGGTAAGTAATTTATTATCTAAACCAAGACACTCTCGGCTTACTCTTGAGAGTAAAAGAGGAAATTATTAATAATTAAGCCCTAACAAGAAATGCAAACCAAGATTGTCCCAGGCAAACCAGAACTTATTGTCACTCTATTAATCGTCTAAGTCAATGATTAACATGTATACAACAAAATAACATGCAAAAAAGACAATTTACTTCTGATAACCTAACAAAGTAAAGAAACAATACAAAATAACAATTTAAAAAAAGTAAAAAAGTCAGGAGCACCTGGCTGGCTCATTCAGTGGAGCATGTACCTCTTGATCTTGGGGTTCTGAGTTTGAGCTTTATGTTGGGTATACAGATTACTTTAAAAAGTTAAAAACTCAGGGCACCTGGGTGGTTCAGTCGGTTGAGCATCCGACTTTGGCTCAGGTCATCATCTCATGGTTTTTGAGTTGGAGCTCCACATAGGGCTTGCTGATGTCAGCCTGTCAGCACAGAGCCCGCTTCAGATCCTCTGTCCCCCTCTCTCTGCTCTTTCCCCACTTGCGCTCTCCCAAAATAAATATATATTTAAAATTAAAAAATAAAATTAAAAAACAAAGAAAGGCAAAAAATCAGTATCAAAGAATACACAAAGATTTGGTTTATGGAAAGAGAAATACCTTATGGAACAGGTATACTTTTAGTAAGACCTTGAAAACAATTCAACCAACTTATAATGAAAGCCTATTATATGCAAGATTCTGTGCACTGGGGAAGAAAACTAGGTCTAACACTCATAAATTAATAGGCTCCTGCAGTTTGCCAGAATGGAAAGGCACTATATAGAACTACTATGGCTAAAGAAGTGAAAACTAAGTTTACATAAACAGACTTCTTAATTATATACTTTAAATGGGTCAAATTTCTTAAGTGTTACAATCTCCTACTTTGGGATTACAATTTTCTTTTAAATTAACATTCAATCCCATTAAATAGTCTATTGTTCATCTTCAGAAGGTCTGTTTTACTTAGTTAGTCACATGAAATGTTGGTTGATATGGAAGAGATGGGAACTAATAAAATGATCAAGGCACACTAGACAGCCGAGAGATCTAGGCATAGGGTATTACAGCATGTACCAGCTGGTGGCAGTTGTCCGCTCCAGCAGCAACATCCATGTGAACCATCCTAGGCCCTATATCTGGCTGAAACTTGAAGCCAAGAGGCAGTGAACCCAAGAATTTCCAGGTTAGCTAGAACTCCTTTTGACAGCTTACATCTGAGAAACTCAGCCAGGCCAATAGTGGAGACCAGAGGACTCACTTCTCTAGTGCCCTCTGAAGACAGGCACTAATTGTGTTATTTCCAAATTCACCTCACTTCCAGGCACATTGGCATAAAATTTTATTGTACTTCCCTCACAGAGTTGTTGAATGATTGGGTTAAATACGTAAAGCTGTTAAATCACTGCCTGACACACAGCAAGTACACAATAGTAGTTCTGTGTATTAGCCACAAAACTAATGGGATGTATCTAGCAATGGAAAACCATTTTGACCAATACAATTTCATTTGGTTTTCTGCTTCTTATGAAACAAAAGCTATTTTTTGTTTACTCCAACCTTGGGATCCTCTGGAGATAAGTAAAAGAGGCAATGACAGTAAAGTGTAAGCATGCAAAGATAGATACTAACAGTAAAGTCACTGGTTGGACTTGAGAAGAAGGAATGACAGGGCTAACCACCTTGTTCTCTATTCTTATGGAAGTGGACAAATAAGAGCGGAATTTACGGAAAAAGTAGCTTTCAAATGTTTCCAGTAAAACTTCAAAATCTACTAGTAGAAACAAAGCAACTAGTTAATTCTCTGCCTTATATATTTTAGATATATCTGAAAAGTTGTGCACATGCTATTTATATGTTGAAATGTACTTTGCCAATGAATTCCCAAATAATCTCAGTTAAATGTTTTGTCAGAAAAAATCTGGCTACCATGCGAATTATGAAATTACATTCAAGAGTGTTATCATTAACTTCAAGATACAATTTTTCTTTTTTTTTTTTTAGATTTTTTTAATTTTTTTTTTTTTTACTTTTGAGAGAGAGAGAGGGAGAGGGACGGGGAGAGAGAGAGAGAGAGAGAGAGAACATGAGCAGGGGAGGGGCAGAGAGAGACCAAGACAGATCTGAAACAGGCTTCAGGCTCTGAGCTGTCAGCACAGAGCCCAACGTGGGGCTCAACCTCAGGAGCCATGAGATCATGACCTGAGCCAAGGTCCGACGCTTAACTGACTGAGCCACCCAGGCACCCCATGATACAGTTTTTTTCTAATACACAACCCAGAGTCATGGGTATTTTTACTTTTTAAAAAAATACATATATATTTTTTAAGTTTACTTATTTTTGAGAGAGAGTGGGCATGTGGGCACTCGAACTGGGGAGGGAGAGAGAGAGAGGGAGAGAGAATATCAAGCAGGCTCTGCACTGACGTGGGCCTCAATCTCACAAACCGTGAGATCGTGACCTGAGCCAAAATCACGAGTTGGACATTTAACCACTAAACCACCCAGGTCCCCCCAAAAAACATATTTTGAAGTGAAATAGTTTCAAATTCACAGAAGAGTTTCAACAATAGTTCAAAGAATTTCTCCACATCAAAATGTAAAATTTTTATATGACAAGACACCTTAAGAAAAGTTTAAAGGCAAGAAAAACAGGATGATGTTTATTTTATACACACATACACATTAAGAAAAATGATTAAAACGTAGAATACTGTTATAGCAGACAGACTTTAAGGTCATCCCCATAAATCCCATCTCCTATTGTTCATGCCCCTGAATGTATACAATCCCCTTAAGTGTGCAAGACCTGTGACTTGCTTGTAACCAAGAGAATATGACAAAGGTCATAGATATCACTCTTGTGCTTATGTTTTGTATATATGTAAGATTCTGTCTTGCTAGTAAGTGTGCCAGAAAGACTCCCTTTCACGGACTTTGAAGAGGGAAGCTGTCGTGTTTTAATAAGTGACCATACTGGAGAAGCCACATGGCAAGAAACTGCAAGTAGACTCTAGGAGCTGAGGGTAGCATCCAACAAGAAACTGAAGTCCTCAGTCTTGCAGACGCAAGGAAATTAATTCTGCCAACAACCTGAGGTACCTTGGAAATGGTTCCTCCCCCAGTTCAAACTCCGGTAAGACTAGAGCCCCAGATGACAACTGGATTGCATGCAGCCTCCTAGAGGCCCTGAGCAGAATATCAAGATAAGCCATGCCCAGACTTCTGACCTAAAAAAAAAAGCTGTGTGATAAAAAATGTGTCTTTAAGGGGCGCCTGGGTGGCTCAGTCAGTTAAGCAACCGACCTCAGCTCAGGTCATGATCTCATGGTTCGTGGGTTCAAGCCCCGCGTCGGGCTCTGTGCTGACAGCTCAGAGCCTTGAGCCTGCTTCGGGTTCTGAGTCTCCCTCTCTCTCTGTTCCTCCCCTGCTCTCACTCTGTCTCTCTCTCTCTCAAAAAGAAATAAAGATTTTAAAAAATTGAAAAAAAAATGTGTCTTTAAGTAATTACCATTTGTGGTCATTTGTTAACATAGAATAGAAAATTAATATACAGTAGTCCTCCCTTACCCACAGTTTCACTTTCTGAGATTGCAGCGACCAGTGGTTAACTGAAGCAGGCTGTCCTCCTGACGTATCCTCAGAAGGTCAACAGTAGCTTAATGCTACAGCACAATGCCTATGTCATTCACTGCACTTCATCTCAGGATGTAGGCATTTTATTATCTTACATCATCACAAGAAGAAAGGTGAGTACAGTCCAATAAGATATTTTGAGAGAAACAAATTCCCATAACTTTTATTACAGTACATGGTTATAGTTGTTATATTTTATTATTGTTATCATTATCAATCTCTTACTGTACTAATTTATGAATTAAACTTTATTGTTGGTATGCATGTATAGGAAAAAACAGCCTATAGGGTTTGGTGCTATCCATAGTTTCAGGCATACACTGCGGGTATTGGAACTTATGCCCCATGGATAGTAGGGGACTACTGTAACTTTATTTTATTTTATTTTTAATTTATTTTTAACATTTATTTATTCTTGAGAAAAAGAGAGAGAGAGAGTGCAATCAGGGGAGGAGCAGAGAGAGAGGGAGACACAGAATCCGAAGCAGGCTCCAGGCTCTGAGCTGTCAGCACAGAACCTGATGTGGAGCTCGAACTCATGAACCATGAAATAATGACCTGAGCCAAAGTTGGATGCTTAACCAACTAAGCCACCCAGACGCCCCTGTAACTTTATTTTAAAACCATACAAATTAAGGGCACCTGGGTGGCTCAATTGGTTAAGCATCCAACTCTTGGTTTTGGCTCAGTACATGATCTCATGGCTTGTGAGATTGAGCCCAACATTGGGCTCTGTGTTGACAGCATGCAGCCTGTTTGGGACTCTCTCTCTCCTTCTCTGTACCCTCCCCCACTTGCACTCTCTCTCTCTCTGTCAAAATAAATAAACATTTAAAAGTAAATAAACAGAGGTGCCTGGGTGGCTCAACTCTTGGTCGGCTCAGATCACGATCTCACAATTGGTAAGATCGAGCCCCATGTTGGGCTCTGCACTGTCAGCATGGAGGCTGCTTAGGATTCTCTCTCTCCCCCTCTCTCTGCCCCTCCCCTGCTCACAGGGTCTCTCACTCTCAAAATAAATAAATAAATTTAAAATATAAATAATTAAAAATAATATAAATAAATTCATACAAATTATTACAAAAAAGACCTGCAATCCACCAAAAACATGGAAAAAAGATATAAATATGCAATTTTTAGAAGAAATACA